GAACCCACGGTGGAAGGTGAACAGTAACTCTGACCCCCAAACAAGCACAGCAGCACACGTGCATTTCCACTGTCACAGGCACGCACACAAGAAGAAGCTTAAAGATAATTTTAGACTTTAACAAGGGAAAGAACAGTGTGATGAGTGTCGGCGCCGGAGTATCTGCATCCTTGCTTCCAGTTCTACTACTGTGAAATGAACTCTAACAATGTATTTTCCTGGACGGATCTAAACATTTCCATGTCAACATTCGATCAATGGAAAGATGAATTTGGGGCGCTTTGTACAAGGTCTCAAAATCTGGGACATTCACAGTACCACTCAATTTAGATGTGAAATTTTATTCTATATTTACATTTCATAGAATTTATAGTTGGAAAAGTAGATCCACAAATTGTTCCAAACATACTTTAGAGCGTGTAAGTTGATTTAAATTAAACTTAAAATTCATTTCCTTGCTCACTCTGACCACATTTTAAGTGTTCGTAGCTATCAATGGCTAATGACTTCTGTATGGAACACAGCAGATCAAGCTGATGGGACAAAATGCCTGCCTCTGACCCCAATCACAATTTGGTGACTTCATCCTGCCTCTCTTAGCCTGTCTTCCTCTACTCCCCAGCATACATCCTAAAGTAGACCGACTGATCCTAAACATTAATTTGACAAAATCTACATTGAACACTTGCCTATGTGCAAGCATTCTGCTAAGCACTGCATGTAACAGGACACAAAACCATGTCTGGATTGGGGCATAAAAACAAGGTCAGCAGATTGTAACACCGCGAATGGCCCAGAAAAGACAGAGTGCGTCATAAATTGCTAGAAGCCCAAGGGGAAAGGATCTGATAGGAGATGCACATAAAAGACATCACTATAACACAAAAAACAGCATCTTCTCAATTTTGAGTATGTTGGGGGAAAGGATTTGATGACATGTATAATAATAGTACATCTTAGGACTAAGGGAAGATTCTAGAATGAAGGACAGATCAGCTGTGGAAGGGGTTAGAGAAAAGAGCCATGGTGGTGAAGGAGCCAAGCCAGCACGTGTAACCAGCCTAAAGTGAGAAAAACCTTTGCCTCTGAGGAGCAAAGAGAAAATGGTTCATGTAGGAGAGGGCAGATAAGCAGGACCCAGCTCATGCAGGCCTTTAGGCCATAGTATAGAGTTGCCATTTTGTACCAATTTCACTGGGAAATCTGTTGTACATGTTTTAAAGATGTTAGGTTGGCTGAAACTGGGAAACAGTATACTCAGTGAGGTAACCCAGACCCATAAAGACAAATACATGTTCTCACTCTTACGTGTATCTTAGTGCTGATTTGTGTGTTTAGCTTGGAGAACCTGTAGAATCCAGGAAAATAGAAAGGGACCATGGTGAGGAGGAGGAACAAAAGTCTTAATGGAGGAGAAATAGTAGCACACAGGCCATATGAAGGGGAAGGGGGGAATAATGGGAAGGGGAGGTTTAAGCAGGGAAAGGGCTGGGAGGGCAGGGCAGAGTGGAAACTAACACTAAGAATGTTCGGGAAAGCCGTATGGAAACTTAACCTGCTATTTTATAAGCTCCCTGTTTCATTGGAGTTACCCTACACAGGAGATAATGCTCCTCCAGGAAGACATAGGTTGCCAAATAAAAATCTCAGTGCCGGGTGTTGGATATCCCTCCCTCCATGAGTTGTTGGTTAGGGATGTCTCGGAGATGTCCAAAATAATACAAGCTATTACCATTGCGTTTGGTTGCCCACTAGAACACGACGGTGCTGAAGGTACCACACACATTTGGACATAGGACATCGGAGAAATCAAGTTAGTACCGGGAGGTTTCCTCCTACCACAGAGCCTTTAGCGTATTAATGAGTGCTATGTAGATGGCTGGGGTGGCCGTGGAGGTGGGGGGTATCATCAACAGCCTTATCCAGCTGTGAGCACTGTGAGTTAAAAGAATGACTGGGGTGGCAAGGTATGCTCATGCAGTAGTGGCACAAATATTATGGAAGCGTCCAACCACTTTCTGATCAGATTGAAGGCCACTCCACGTGAAGAAACTCATGCTTAGTAATGTAAACCTGGCCAGCTGGGGAGCTCACAGGTTCCGGGGATGGAGCTACTGTTATTATTTCGTTCAATGGGTGTAAAACTGCCATCTAAATCCATATCTTTTTATTAATAGATCAGTACATCTCTTAGACCTCATCAGAGAAGTTTCTACGTGTAGTAGACAGTGGTCAATGTAGAAACTCACAAATGGTTAAAGTGTAGAGAAGACATGTTTATGGAGTGCTTACCCACAAATGTGACATCTGTATCACAACTCTCCTCCCAAGGCCCGGAGACCATCTTGGAAGAGGAAGCAGAAGGATCATACGAGCCAGAGGTTAGGGAGGCCTGGAGCAAACTACCTCCTGAACAGGACAGGACTACTGCACTCATGAACTCAACAGCAGTTGTGGCTGTCTGCAGACAGTCAAGACAGCCAGCATTCTGGCCCCCACCTGGAACTGAGTAGCGATTGACTTTTGATGGCTCCCAGGGGAGGAAGAGTCGGATTTCTTTAAGGGTGTGTCCCCCTCCCTGTAGGTCACCCAAGCTCCCACATCCAAAAATATATGGGCAGCTTAAACTGGACTGAGTGGATTCTTTTAAAAGACAAGGATGTGAAGCTGGGGGAGGGGATGTAAGTGGAGATTGGGGGTATGAGTTCCAGAGAAGTTAGGGCGATGAGTAGGAGGTGAATACAGTCAAAATAGAAAGTAAAGAATTAACGCAAATATTATATTTAAAAGACATTGGGTTAACACTTACTTTATTTTTTTACTTTCCTTCTATTATTTATTGAAAGAGGATCTCACCATGTCTCGGTGGACAGCCTGAAACTCACTGTGTAGCCCAGGTGGGCCTGGGGCTTGCTGGGATCCTTCCATCTCCTGAGTACTGGGATTACAAGTGTGCTCCTCTTTTAAATCTTGAATCCTTCAAGGGCCTTTCTTTCCCCTGAGTTTTAACCTCCACTGCTCTGTCCAAGTTTCCCGTGTCCTCATACTCCTTGCTACAAAGATTTAGTTCTGTGAACAAGACTTGCCCCCTACTCCCCAGCACCCAGGCTACCAAAACTTCATAACAAAACAGGACATCATTTCATGTCAGGTTGGGGTTACCTGCTGGCTAGTTTGTGTCAACTTGACACAAGATTAAGAAAATGCCTCCGTAAGAACAGGCGGTAGGCAAGCCTGTGGAGGCCCACAAAGGATTCCTAGTGAGATCTCAGTTTGCTTTACCTGGCAGGGGTGCATAAAGGGATGGATTGATGTTTGGAAGGGACTGCACTTGGCTGAGCTAGGGGGAGGTCTTTTGCTCCACCCCTTGGCATCCCTTTAACAAGCCCTTTAGGAGAGACAGAAGGGATCAGTGTATAAGGATCCAGGCCTTCCTGAGCTAGCCTATGTTTGTCTCTTTCTCTCTCCCCTCTATATTTCTATCTAAATATTTCTCACTTCTCCCTCCTCAAGAATACCCTGGGGAAAAATTGGGAGCGGGACTCCCACACAAACCTGCAGGGCATTTTCTTAATGATTGATGGGGGAGGACACAGCTTATTGTGGGTTAGGCCACCCCTAGTCTGTATAAAAGCAGGCTGAGGAAGCCCTGTGAAGCAAGCCAGTCCTCCATGGCCTCTGCATCAGCCCCTGCCTCCAAGTTCCTGCCCTGCCTGAGTTCCTGCCCTGCTGCTTTTGATGATGAATTGTATGGAATTGTGAGTGAGATTAAATCCTATCACCTCCAGGTGGCTTCTGGTTATGTATGGTGTTTCATCACAGCAATAGTGACCGTAACTAGGACAGGTTACAAAATAGCATTATCAACCCCTGTGTAACCTCGTGATTACGAGACTTGAACTTTTCTGTCCCTTCAAAGTTCTGACTTGGAAACTATGTACTTCAAAGAATTCTTAAGAAAACACAATCTTTGATCCAAGAAAGAAGTGCTTGCATTTGGCCAAATGCACCCTGCTGACCTACACACCAAAAGCTTTCCTGAAAGGCTTTCCCTACGTATTCTTAGTTTAACATCTGCAAGACCAGGCATGGAAAGGTCCCACATTCAGTGACTTTCCAACCGCGGCCTTGGCAGGATACATTTCTGAGCCTGTTTCTACGTCTACTGGCGATGATTAACTGAGAAGTGAAAACATTTAGCAGTCGTTCATGATCAAACCGTTCTCTGTGCCTTTAAGGTTTCCCCTGTGGAGAGAAGGAAGGGAGTGACCCTTAGTTGACAAAAGAAAATGTCACTGTTTCCTCTTCCTGTCCAGAACGGTTAGATCTCCTAGCAGATAATCTCAGGAGAAGGTCGTTAAAATATGCCGAGGGCATTTTTCACTGTACCATTTTTTTTTTTTTTTTTTTTTTTTGAGTTCACAAAAGGCAAGTGAAATCCAGCTTCGGGGAGAGCGGGCTTTTTCCTGGTTCCCACCCAGGCCCACAGCCTGCACTGGCTTTAAAAGGCCTGGATTCTCCGGAGCTACGGTCCGGGATGCATGTTCCTGCAGCCTCGTCTCCCAGGCTCCCGCGCCCCGCGCCTTGCGTGCCCCGCCTGCTCGCACGGCTTGCCAGGTCGGGAGGGTCAGAGCGCGGCCGGGCCGCCGAGGCCAGTGCCCGGGAGTAACCCTGCGGGCCCGCCCCTCTGCACAGGCTGCCCGGAGCCGCGCGGTGATTGGCGGATGCCGTCGCGGGTGAATGGGGTGACCCCGCTCCCCCCCCACCCCCGCCAGCCCGAGGCCCGGCGCCCCGAGAAGCAACCCGGAAGTGAGGCCGTGTGGGGGGGTGTCCTCGGGGATACGCAGGATGCATCTCTCGAACGGAGAGCATTCGGCCCCGAGGGTCCCTCCTGCCACCGGCGCCGATCGCCCACTCGCACTAGAGCCTTGGAGCCTGGGCAGGGCCTCGCTGAGCCTGGGCTAGCCCAGACTCCTGATGCTCGCTGTGTGGACTAGTACCTTGTTGAACATGGAGTTTGGATTCAGCCGTTTCAGTATACCAGACGCGCACTCTTTTCGCCATGCAGACCTCAGTAAAGGAGGCCTCTGTCGTGGTACAGTGTAGACGGGGGAAGACTAATAAGCAGCATCATTACAGAGTGTGAGAAATGCTGAGAAGGAAGCAAACTAGAGGAGAGATTGGTTTTTGGCAGGGTAATGGCGGCCTGGTGGGGCATCGGGTAGGGGTGTGACAGGGATAGGAAAGGAGCTGAAGAGAAGCACACAGGCTTTGAAAAGGCCTGGCTTTTGCAGTGTTCTTTCCTCATCTCTCAACATCTGAATTCTCAAGGCACTTTTTTTTTTTTTTTTTGCTAAAAGTGCATCAGTTTTCATAATGTAATGTTTTTTTTTATTATCTCAGTTCCTGGAGTATAGCATTTCCCCGAAGACAGAAAATATGTACGTGATGTTTACTGCCTTCTAGATTTCTGGCTGGATGCAGAGGGTAATTTTTAAAACGCATAACACATTGGTGAATGTTCGATGAAAATCAGTTCTTATCTTTTTATGCTTATCCCACACACTCAGGGTGGCACTCCTCATCTCTGCTCTTTGGGAGGCTTTCTTGAATATTTAACAACAACACAGCTTTCTAGGCGTTCATGCCCTCCAGTCTAACTGCTGAACTGGCTGACCTATAAACTACTGTCTTCGGTGAGATGAAAGCACAGCACCCCATAGGATGTTTGTGTTCGATTTTTGTGTTACCATAGTTACCTGCAATGCCTCCATCCACAGTAACAAATGAAGAAAACAATAGGCAAATAAGCAAACACTCATAGCATGAATTTGGACTCCCCAAGTCTTACTGTGTCTTGAAACAGCCGACTAAATCTAATTTGCTGTTATGATTATGAAGAAAGTAAATGGTCTTCTTGGGATGTTGTTGTGTGTGTTTTAAGTATACAGTCTTTCACTAGTCAACTTCAATAAACATCTATTTCTTTTTTTTGCTTTTTATGTATCGGGCCCAACACCATACTAGAAGTTTCTGCCCTTGACTTGAGGAAAAGAGATACTGGAAACAGTAAGTGATACAAAAGAGTACAGAGTGCTCTGGTCTTGGGAAAAGGTGAAAAAGAAACATTTTGTTCTGCTTTACATTCTGTGAAGCAAAGCCTAGGGAGAGAGGAAAGTAAAAATGATTAAATATAGGCACATTGAAACTCTATAGAAGTCAATCTTATGTGTCAATAAGATGCAGAGTAATAACATTGTATTCTGCATTTCCTAGTTTAAACAGTTTAAAAATTGCTCCAAATTTATGCTCAGAGGGAATCTGTTTACCAGCTTCTGTATCTGTTGAAACAATCTGATAAAGGGCAGCATGCTATGTAATCATTTAGGTTAGAAGACAATACAGCACCTTGACATAAGAGATTATGTAGCTATGCAATCCAATGGCAAGCAGTAGTTTTCAAAAAATTAAGCTGAAGATATGGTTCAGAGGTTAATATAATTTACTGCCTTTTGAGAGGACCTGGACTTGGTCCCCAACACCCTCATGGTGGCTCAAAACCATCGATCACTCCAGTTCCAGGGGGATCTGATAGATGCCCTTTTCTGAACTCTGAGGGCGCCAGGTATGTACATGGTGCATGTACATACATGCAAGTAAAACACTTATACACATCAAATAAAGAATAAAACTCATTTTAAAAAAAATCAAGGTGCCACACAAACTTGTAAAGTTTCACTTGAGTCTTAAGTGGTAAAAAGTGAACTGAAATTGCACGATCATATTTTGACATGGAAGAGTATGTCTAATAGTACAGATACACATAAGCAAGGCTTTTGATGAAACACCTTTTCAGATAACTAAAATACCCCATGACCTAGAATGACTACATCTTTGAAGGCTAAACTTTAGAGAACTTGCTTTTATAAATGATAGATCCAGGGCAAAGAATATCGAGTGTATGTCTCCAGCTCTAACAGAATATAAATCACTTTGAAAGCATGTTGCTTCGCCAGGGTAGACTCCCTCCCAGCCAGTTTACACAGCTACTGTTTGGCTAACAGTAAGCTTATCACTGGCTTTTATCTAATCTTTAGCTCTTTGATATGGTACTGAATTAAATAAATTAGTTCTAAAATTTATCTTGATATCCAGCAAAGTAAAAGACCCAATGATAATCCTTCCTGGTTGAAAGCTTTATTTTCATTTCAGTTACAACTTTATTGAGATACGATTTATTGACCACAAAATTCAGCCAAGTATACAATTCAAGAAGTTGAGGGCTGAGCGTGGCCAGTTCAAGACTTAATTTTTGCCACCTGGCCTTGCAGCCACGAGTGTTACTTTAGTCTTGTATGGCTCGATTTTCTCGTCTCACTGCTGACAGAAGGCGACTAGGGGCTGGAGAGATGGCTCACTGGTGAAAAGCACTTGTTCTTACCACGCGCTGGAGTTCAAGTCCAAGCACCTACATGGTGACTCTGAACTGTCCACAAGGTATCCAATGCCCTCTTCTGACCTCCTGGGGCACCAGGCACACATATGGTGCACAGACATACATGTGAACAAACACACTCATAAAACAGAATAATAATAAAAAAGAATGCAATCAAAAGTAAAATTCCCTTTACTGGGAAAGGTCTTAGAAATGTTTCAGTATTAAAAGAGAACTGGTACATTTTTTAGTTTATTTTTATTTAAATGTAAAAAAACGTGTGAGTGTTTTGTCTGTGTACATTTATATGCACTATATTCATGCCTGGTGTCTGCAGAGGCCAGAAAAAAGTGTTCAGTCTCCTGGAACTGGACTTACAGATAGTTGTGAGGTACCACGTAGGTGCCTTTAACTTCTGTCTTAGTTAGGGTTTCTATTGCTGTCAAGAGACACCATGACCATGGCAACTTTTAAAAAGAAAAAACATTTAACTGGGGTGGCTTATTTCAGAGGTTTAGTTCAAGATCATCATGGTTTAAGATGGTGGTGAGCATACAGACATGGTGCTGGAGAAGTAGCCGAGCGTCCTACATCTTGACTTGCAGACAACAGGAAGTGGTCTGTCTCACTGGGCGTGGCTTGAGAGCCCTCCTCCATAGTGACACACTGTCTCCAACAAGACCACACCTACTCCAACAAAGCCACACCTCCTAATAGTGCCACTTCCTTTGGGGGCCATTTTCTTTCAAACCACCACAACTGCTGAGCTAGCTCTCCAGCCCCCCAAATTTGACTAATTGTTGCAATACATATAATAGTGCTTGATATTCAAATTAATACAAATTTAAGATTTTTTTTAAAAGGTATTTTTACTTATGCGGTTATATACATGTGTGCTCACATGAGTTAATGTGTGTTACATGTGTGCATGTGTGTGAGGAGGCCAGAGGGTGTCAGATCCCTTGGGACTGGAAATACAGATGTCTGTGAGCTGCCTGATGTGGTTGCTGGGATTTACACCCAGGTCCTCTGCAAGAGCAGCAAGTGTATGTTCATTGCTGAGCCATCTCTCTGTCAATCTTGACATCACCCTAATTGTATTGCTTTGAGTCCGGGATACAGTCTGAAACAGAGTAGAGGCTGTGCCTTCCGTAAGCTTATTAGACGACAGGATAATAAATATTAAAAAGCAGATGTGGTGCGTCAAACAGTGATGGCGCTAAGGAGAAAAACCCAGTCCAGACGAAAGGCTCCAGAAAACAGGAGTCAAAGAAGGCGACAGGAGGGAGTGACAGAAAAATGTCTCTTGCTTCCCGAGGAGGTGGTGTTTATGCCAAGATCACAATGAAACAAAGTTGCAAGCCTTGGGGATGTCTAGGTTAAATCCTTGGAGGCTTAGACACCAAGACCAAGGCTCTTGAAGTGGTCTGCGCTTGCTCAGTTCAAGGAGTAAGAAGGAGGCTATTGTCTGGGAAACGCCACAGTGTCCGTCATGGCTTCGTCCTGGAAACCTGACAGGGGTGATGAGGGAATGAAGAATGGACAGACACACCTACAGAAAAGCTGGGATCAGATGGAACATGTCCCTTTGATGGCCCCGCACCAACTATCAACCTGGGACCTCCCTTGCATTGTTTATTATGCACAGGAGAGGCTATCTAGTCTCTTAGAGGAGGTCTCAGGACGGGAGCAGTCTCAGTCTGCAGTCATCCTGGAGGAGGAAGCTGCTGCTGTTGCTAATTTTTGCACACACCGTTAGTCATTCATACATACTCACACTTGGACCAGAGAAGGGCCTTGCCATGCCTCTGAGCCTCGCCCAGATGAAGGCTTTGCCAGATCCCTTGGGTCCGAGGCATTGGGCCTTGTCAATAATACACATTTACTCAGGACTCCATCCACTCCTTACACATTCACTCAAGGCTTTCTTGGCTCCCCACAGAAGGCAGATAATTTTAGAAGGATAGAGAAATAGCAACATGTTAAATAATTAAAGTCCAAAGGCAGTTGTTAGGATTTGGGCTTTAATTCTCTGTTGAGATACGAAGCTGGTAGTACTGAACAGAACTGAAAAACAGAGAGAAGACAGAAGAGGGAAAGAGAGGAGGTCAAGAGGAGAGAAAGAAGGAAGAGGAGCAAGAGAGCGAGCTCAATAGATGGATCTGTGTTGTCCTTAGTATAAAACAACAGTTGTCCTAGATTCTAGGCAACTTTGAAATGTCCAGAGACGGACATTTTAAAGACAGGTTTTGTTATGTCATGCAAATATCTCCTAATGAGACAGTAGCAGTTTTAGTAATTAGAATTGTATTATAATGAAACTGTTAATTGAATTTTTAATTCAACTGCAGCTGCTATCGCAATAAAACAAATTGGCCAGGATATTAAATAATCTCTTCCCTAGATCTAGACCCAGTGGTAAAAACTAAGGCGGGGGGGGGGGGGGTGCTACCATAATTTAAAAGTAAATAAAGAGGAAAATCAGTATTTAATGGAGAAAATGCGATGCTTTTTTTGATGTTACCACGTGAGTGTTCCCAAGGAACTACCTTGGATCACATAAGATGGGTAAAAGGGCAGCAATGGCCTCAGGACAGTCTCATAGTTCTGATGACCAAGAACCCAATTCTGTGGTACCCAAAACACTTCCCTTGAATTCCATTATTTAGGAAGCCTGGCATTGATCATAGGTCCGTTTTTATTTGGGAAAAAATAGTTAAGATGGGAAGTTACACCAGTTCTGTGCCTTTCTTGCAGATTTACACTTGAATCCAAAGTTACTGAAACAGGGGTGTCTTAGTTAGGGTTTCTATTGCTGTGAAGAGACGCCAAGACCACGGCAATTCTTATAAAGGAAAACATTAATTGAGGTGGCTTGTAGCTCAGAGGTTTAGTCCATTATCATCATGATGGGACATGGCAGTGTGCAGGCAGACATGCTATCGGAGAAGAAGCTGAAAGTCCGACATCTTGATGGCAGGTAACAGGAAGTGAATTCAACTAGGCATAGCTTGAGCATAGGAGACCTCAAAGCCCACCCCTACGTTTCCTCCAACAAGGCCACACCTCCTAATAGTGCCTTTCCCTGAGATTATGGGGGGCAATTACATTTAAACTACCAGAAGCATAGCTGTGAGTGTGGTCATTTCACACTCTGTGGTGTAAATTTAGCTGCTGGGGCAGAGAAGGCCCTGCTTGCCACTGACTGCATAGGTAAGTATATATTGCTGTGGTTCTCAACCTATGGGTCAAGACCCCCCTTTGTGGTCAAATATTAGAAATCCTGCATATCAGATACTTACATTACAATTCATAAAAGTAGCAAAATTAGAATTATGAAGTTGCAACAAAATAATTTTATGATTGTGGGTCACCACAATATGAGGAACTGTATTAAAGGGGTCACGGCATTAGGAAGGTTGAGAAACATCGACATACTGGGAACCCTAAGGCTCTGCTTGAGGGAGATGAGAGTATGGCCTTGCTAATAGCCTTGAGATGAGTTCAAATCCCGGATAAGGTGGGAAGTGGAGCTGAAACAGGAGCGAGCGTGACACTGCTGATTTTATCCTTCACCCATTCAAAACGAGGTTAGAGACTTCTTGTCACCTACCAGGGACTGCTAAGGTCTGTGCAAGTAATGCACCAAATCTAGCATGTTTCTCCTTACAGTGGTGTTTACAATCTCAAGTCGTGATCTTTAAAGCACCCCGGAGATTGAGACAATACAGCTATGGAACAACTACAATGAATATGTGTAGACAAATTTCTAAACAGTCTTATTAAATAAGAAACACAGAGCCAAATACAGAGGTGCAAGCTGAAGAGCAATAGGAGCCAACTAACCTTAGCTTACCACCTCACCATAGCTTCCCAAGAGAGCCTCTTTCTGTCTAACCTGCACCTTTATTGCTTTCCTGTTCTGCCTTTTCATTGGCTCTAAGCCCAGCAACCACACTTCCTCGTCACTGCCTGTCTATACAGACCTTCAGTTCTCAATGGTTTGTGCTGGGATTAAAGACGTGTGTCAACACACTTGGCTGTGTCCTTGAACACACAGAGACTCTGCCTACCATGTGATCAGATTAAGGGCATGTGACACCACCGCCTGACTTCTGTTTATGGCTCACTGTGACCTCTGATCTCCAGGTAAACTTTTTATTAACATACAAATAAAATATCACCACAAATATGGGCTAACTGTGTGTGCAAAGACATCCTTTAAATGATGGGAAGAAAATATAACTTTATTATTTCAAAGTAAGAAAAGCATTATTTGGTGTTTGATTTTGTGGTGGTTTGAAAGAAAATGGCCCCCAAAAGGAAATAGCACTATTGGGAGGTGTGACCTTTTTGAATGAAGTAGGTGTGGCCTTGTTGGAGGAAGTGTGTCACTGTGGGGGCTTGTGTTGAGGTCTCTTTTGATCAAGTTTCGCTCAGTGTCACAGATCATTTCCTGTTGCCTGCAAAATATAGGACTCTCAGCTACGTCTCCAGCACCATGTCTGTCTGCATGCTCCCATGTCTCACCATGACGACAATGGACTGAACTTCTGAAACTGTAAGTGAGCCATCCCAATTCAATGTTTTCCTTTATGAGTTCCTGTTGTCATGGTGTCTCTTCACAGCAATAGAAACCCTAAGACAAGTATTTCCTTATTGTTTGCAATTAAAGTAAATACAAATATTTTGGCTGTATGGGCTTAAAACATTTTATTGGTGGAGACAATATAAACAGTTGATTATGGTATAAAACTTGAGATTGAATTTTAATTTCAATTTTAAAACTTAAAACTCAAAAAGGAAAGAACATATAGGGCAGAAAAGTTAGCCAGCTCTTAGGAGACTGGAGGAAGAGTGATAATAAAGGAAATTTACTCCTGTGCCATCAAAATACTGTCTTCACATGACACTTGAACAACACTCTGTGTATGTAGACATCCATTTTATGAATGGTTAGCACTGCTTCAGGGAAGGTGGTCCTTAGTGTTTGTAGAATTGAATGGCGACTGTTACAACAGCAATTTGTGTACGTTTCAATTATCTAATGTGTATATAGTTGATCTGTACTGTTTGGGTCTTGGAACATTGCTGGTACATGATAAACATTACCCTATAAACCAAAGTGCCTACATTGCATAGTTGGCTGTGTTGTGTCAGTAGGTGTGGGACTGTGAACACACACACACACACACACACACACACACACACACACACACACACGAGGTTAAATTTCTAGTGCTTGAAATGGGAGTTGTATGATACTTGCATGAAGAAGGCCTTGCATTATCAAACAGCAGCAAAAACCAGAAAGACTTTCATGTTTGTGTCCGAGTCCCTTTTAAGTGTTTAAATTTGCCCAGCTGAAAGACATTACGCTACCAATCCATTACAAGACTGATAGTTTCGTAGCGTGGAAGAATCAAAATTCCCAATAATGTGTGAGCAATCCATGCAAGAATTACCGTTACAAAGTTCCAAGTGATTTTTGTTGTTGCTTCATCTTGCTCAACCACAGCCCCAAACTGTGAACTGGGTCCCTTTCAGAAGGGTGGCGAAGCCCGTTAGGGAGGTGGGCACCTGCCAAAAAAAAAACGCCGCACCAGGACCCTGACCCCGGATGCTGGAAAGAGTTCAGGGCATCTAGAACTTCACTAAGGCTATTGCGCAGACTCTGCGTCCCACGCAGGCTTATTAGGAAGAAGCCAGAAAAACTGCTCCGAGACACGTGAACCACAGGGGACCAACCCCGGCCTCCGCTGAGCACCGCATCGGATTCTGGAATTTACAATCACGAAAGTTCTATCGCTCCAGGATTGGCTCCCAGGCCGCATGACATCATAGCGCTTGATCCAGCCTCCGGGCGCGGATTGGCTGGCCGCGCCATTGTGACGTCACGGTCAGCCCACGCCGGGGTTGAAGCTGCCGGGCGCCTTCCTCTTGCATCGCGGCAGCCGCTCGCTCCTGTTCCCGCGCCCGCTTGCACATCCTGCTGCTCGCGCGCTCCTGCTCCCGCCTGGTGCTCCCCGCCGCCGCTCAGGCCGAGAGGTGAGCCGCTTGCTCTCGGAACTTGGCGGGTGCCGTGGCACCGGGGCGCGGCCGGGCTGCTGGCGCCCGGAGTTTCGAGCTGGGCTGGCGGGCGGGGGGGTTGGGGTGGGGGACCGCAGGCACCGTACTGGGGCCGGGCGAGCGCGGGGCGCGGGCCGAGCGGGGCTCTGCCGGGATGCTGTCGCACCTGTTCGTGGGTGGCAGCCACTTTGGCGCGCTGACAGGCGCGGAGATCGCAGGGAGGGATGGCGGCGCGCTAGGATCTTCCGCAGAGCTTTCTCCAGGCGGCAGCAAGGGCTGCTGAGCAGGAGCCCGCGCGGGTCCGGGCGGCACCGGGCGCCCGGGGCCGCGCGCCGGCCTTTCCCTGCCTTCCCCTCCTTTGCAGCTGCCAGGGACCCTCGCTAGCCGGCGACCACTCTGCCTTACATGAGCAGCCTTGCTTGCAGCGCGAGGGTGGGGACTCAGGCGCTGCGCTGTAGGCAGCGGCCTGGAGTCAGCGGATCCATAGTGTGCGCTGCTCCGGAGTTTTAGGGAAAGTGCCCTTAATTGTTTCCCTGCCTGCAAGGTTTCCCCTTCCCCAGTCCTTGGGGTGGAGATAGTCACGCCCAGAGGGAGAGTTGTTCTTTTTAAATGATCTTGAAGCCCTTCGGCACCTTTGAACTTGGTAGAGTACCCGCTCACGATTGTGAGTTATGCTCATCTCTAGGCTCCTTGATTGCAAATTTGAAGGATGCATTGGCCGACTTTTCGTAAGGGGAGGGGGCGATTGAAAGAATGCGATGCGTGACTCATTAACTGGACACCCGAGAGGTGTCTGATGAGAAATTGTGGGGAGCGAGCAACCTCTCCCTAGCTCCGAGTCTCTTTTTTTAATGTCAGGGCCCGTGGCAGGAAGTGTTTCATACAGTTATACGGGAGGGCCAGTGTTGCCTGTTGGTTTTGTAATTTGTTCCTCTAACCTGTTGGTTTGTACTTTTGTTGCTTGCAAGTCTCAGGCCACAGCATTTGGGTCAGACTCTACAGCTCCAGCTGGCTTTGCATTAGGTGAACGAACGCACACTTTAGATTTCCATTTACGGTTGGCCACAAGTGGATCGTTTATCAGTTCAGCCCAGGTACTGCCAGCGACCTTGAAAGAAATGCTACTTACGTACCTTTTGAGATTTTTCTCCTGATTGTAACATCACTGTGGAGAACTTTCTGTACGCCATCTCATTTTGCATTTTCTTTCAGTTTCGAACTGAAGACAAAAGGGGAAATGTTACACACTTTCACAGAATGTAGGGTAAACTTGAAAGAAAAATGAAGGGAAGCATGGCTGTCAGATTTTTCAAAATAGGATCTAGTAAGTTCAAACACTCTACTCGCTTGACTCGGTTTCCTTGTCAGTAAACCGGGTTCCATGTTGCTAATTTATTAGGTGGTTTTTGAGAGACTATACATGAAAGAACCAAACTGGGGGTCTGCTAAATAGTGGTTTGATAGATGTTTCCTTTTACTTTCCTGGGATTAACAGTGTTTCTCACGGCCAGGATCGTAGCCCTGGGATGTCTGCTGTTAGCAGAAGCCTTTCCCCCAGTACTTTCCTCCTCTGCTTTAGCCATAATTACTGCTTGTGCTGCTTTTAGAGGTGAAGTACTCACTCTTGTGTTTTGTTTCCAACGTGAAGTATATACACACATCAAGGCAAAATTGCTTACCTTGTCTTCCAGGGACTGTGGCAGAGTAGAGCATGTATGTTGCCTTTTTCTCTACCACTCACTAGCCTTCCCCATATATATATAATATGATTCTACTTTGGCCTGCCAACTCATGGTAACCATAGACCACCTCCCCTTAGCTGTCGGGCTTTCCCTACATGCATTCCCTTCCAGGTACAGTTCTCCTGTCTGCCCTTCCCCCTTGCCTCTCTCCCTGCCTTTCTTGATGCTGGGAGTTGAACCCAGAATTTCACACATGCTCAGCAAAGCTTGCCTCTGAGCTACTTCATCAGCCCTGTTTCATGGACTAATGATAAGAGAACCTATTTGCTAAGTATTTCTTTCCACGTCCCAGGGTCCCCTTGGGGAGTCTTATCACCCACCATTTTGTTTGTTTAAAATCGGGTAGCTAAAGCCTAGAGATGTTGATTTTTCTAAATTCCCACAGTCCTGTCTATCTCAAGCAGCGTTCCCACCCCGGCCACATCCTTGTGCTGCTGTTGGATTGCCTCTAGTCAGCTTTTTGACATTTATGTAATTGTGCTATTTGGTAACTTTAAAAACCCTTAAACCATCCAGGTTTAACAATCGGCTGTTTCTCAAAGCTGCCTAAAATATGTTTATTTATTTATCCTTTCCTTGATTCATTTGTTTTAAGACAGGCTCTTATGTAGTCCAGGCTTGCCTCTGCTTTCCAGTTTCTGCAGGTGACCTTCAACTTCTGGTCCTCCTGCCTGTTTTTTGAGTACCGGGATGGTAGGCCTAGGCTAACACATCTGCTTTGTGCTGTGCTGGGGGTTGGAACCCAGGGGTTCAGCATGCTAGGCAAGTGTTCTACCAACCCAGCTATCGCCCCAATCCATGATTTATTGTTACTAACTTGCTGACTTTCTTTAGCTGGTTTGTATGAAATGTGTGCGTGGATGGGGTGTTTGCATCCAAAGATGAGTGAAGCGGTTCCTGATGCCAAAGCCCTTGATTTGGCTTACATTTTGAGCCTTTTTGTACACACTTTTATACTTTACACGAAAGGGAGTCAGAGGTAGATTTCTGGGGCGTGGGTCTGCACGCTTCACGGCACAGCTGTCTACCAGATACTGCAGTTTCTAGCAGTGCTGAACTGGTCAGGATGCTTTTGGTGCAGGGAGAAAACCCAGTTCAGATTAGCTTAACCTCACACCCCTGTAAGGGCCTTGAAAGCAAGACCTGTGCTCCACTTCCCGACAGCCCTCTGAGATACAGCCTCTGTCCTTAGGCTCATTTTGCAAGATGACTCTACCAGCGACTGTCTGGATTCCCCCTTGAGGTGCTTAACGTAATTAAGCCTTGGCCATTTTAAGCAATAACTGAGAAGAGTTGGATAACCTGGTATCCATCCCAACAGTGGGTTGACTCTTGCCACACCTAACTGACTGCTGTGCCTTTCGGGAGGGCTTGCATTAACACCAGTGTGTCGAAAATTAAGGTAGGGGAAGTTTGGAGAACATATGGGGAATCATTGGGCAAGAAGGAAGTGCAGGGGACCGAAGCTGGTAAGACAGCAGAAGTCGAACGTTAACGTTAGTCTGGCTTTGCTATAATAACAACTTAAATTATTGAGTTGTTCTGTCAGACTTTTAGATCACTTCCTGAGAGCGGACCTCAGGCCTCATTAGTTGATACCAGAAAATTCTCACTTAATAATAAGATGCTTTGGGGTTGGAGAGCTGGCTCAGCAGTTAAGAGCACTGGCTGTTCTTTCAGAGGAGCCGGGTTCAATGTCCACCACCCACACGGCAGCTCACAACTGCCTGTAACTCCAGTTCCAGGGTACCCAAAACCCTCATGCAGGCAAAACACCAATGCATATAAATTGGGAGGGGAAAAAAAAAAGGATGCTCAGTTTAGATACTTGTCCAAGGTCATGACTCATGCAGCCTAGAAGTTTCTGATGCCGGATCCTGTTTTCTCTTCTGAGGTGTTCAGTAACAGAATGTTACAATGGTTCCTTTTTTTAAACTAGAAGGAATATATTGAGTGCTATGCTTAAGAAATAGGAATCTTATCAGCATGTATAGGATGAGTTGGCTGGGGTGGAGGCTTGGGATGTGGAGAGGTAACAGTCTGCCTTACCTCACATAATAGTGCATGTGATAGACTAAAACACAGGCTTGGGATGCAGAGTTTGAGTAAAGCACACACATGCTAACCAGCGTTCAAGTGTGAAAAGGCACGGGTGTTTCAGCATTGGTGTGTTGAACTGACCGCATGGTTCCTTATCTTCACGTGCCACCAAACATGAGAAATCAGCTCTGAGCACTGGTCTGCCTCTCTCTCCCTCTTTAAAAATGAAAGGAAGAAGTGAACATGTCTTAGTTTCATTTTTGCCAAGAATCAACCCTTTGTTTCTGTTTGGCGGTGGCTGGAGAGTGAAACTTGAGATCTTTTAGGTCTTAGACATTACAACTGGAGGTAAAATTGCAGCCGTGGAAGCAGATTGCTGCTGGTGTTGGCTTCTGGAGCTTGAAGCGTTACTCGAGGAGACGAGGGTTCAGCCTAGTGAAGCAACTTGTTATCTGACCATGTGTTGAGATAGGACCCTCTCTCCCAGTCCCTGACTTCAGCCATAAACGTTACTGTCACCCAACTTTGGTTCCCATGGGGACATCCCAAAGGGGGGCAGCTGAGGAATAATGGTATAATGATGTCTTCTGGCTTCCACAAGCTCACACGTGCACAAATATACAAAAGCTAATTTCCTGTCCTTCCTGTCTGTCCCTTCCTTCCCTCCTGTTGTGTGTGACGTTCAATTGGAATTGTATTCAGGAAATAAGGGGTACCCTAGTACTCTTTATTGGGAGTGCTTTGGGCTTAACATCTCACATTGTTTGGAGTTCAGGACATAGCTTGTTATTTTTGTTGTAAGATTTTTCAATGTTGATTCTGTCTTGCTTTTTCTAACTAGAATAACCATTTCTCTAGCAACATGCCTGTGATTTTTAAGTATATTCTTAGTTACTATACGAGGCTAGAAGTCCCCACACATGCTAGTTGTGGTTTCTACTGGTTGATTTCCCCTGTTGCCCCTTCCTCTTCCCCTGCTTAACACTTAGATTCTTGTTACTAACTTTAGGAAGCCATTTTGGACAGGCTTCATTGGAACCATGTGGGGAATTGGTCAGGGGATGAGCTTTGAGTTTCTGGAACCAAGAGTGCTGTTCCCGCTTTGTCTTGGCACAGTAAATGCTGGGGCAAAGTGATTGTTATGAATTCTCCTTCCTTAAAGAATATTCTCAGGATACCAAATTCAGTAATTACTCA